CGGGCGAACAGTGGGAAATTAAAAAGCCAAAAAAGTAGTGAAAGCAATCAAATCTGTCGTAATAATAACCCCAGTTTGTTGGGCAAACAAAGCCAGTTGGGCAATATTCGCTTCACAGTCGGGCAATATTGGGTTATTATAAAAATAAATGGGATAAATTCTGTCAATTTTGTGGGAAATTCAGGAAATTCGGTACGCCCATGTTTCCCACCTTCAAGAAAGAGGTTTTTATTCAACTGCATGCATGCAGTGTGGGAAAGGGGGGTATGGGTCACGTTTCACCAACCTCGTTCCCAGAAGAAACTTAAGGTTATGTTCCTTCTTTCAGAAGAAACCTAAGGTTATGTTCCTCGTTCCTCGTTCGTTTTCTTTTCTCCAAAAAGGGGAAGAGCCAGGAAACGAGGTTGACGTTTCACAACGAAAATAAAAGCTTTTTCACAATTCACGTGTCTTCAGTAAAAAAGCAATTTCACATTTCACTAAAAACTAGATTCTAACAAAAATATAAAAATAAAAGGTTTATCAAGAGCATGTTTAATGCATGGTACAAAAGTTTCGAGTTCTCTCACTTCTCAAGTGAGGTCGATCATGTAATTATTATCGCGTATCATGTCTATTATGGCTATTATAAAATAGATCGAAATAAATAAAACGCAGTTCACAACACAGACATGCTTCTTTAATTTTCATTTCACGGAGCATTTTAATCGACAATCACGCCTCACGGCTGTAGAACAAAGCACATTCCACGACACTAAAATCAAGCATTTTACATATCACACAAACGGCAAATATTGACCATTCAAGGCTCACGAAAATAACCTTTCCCACCCTCTTTCTTTAAAGGTTATTCTAGTACTCTGGTTACTGCGTTTTACAAAATCTGTCACAGGTAATCCTACAATAGGGACGCCTGAAGAGGAGGCTATCCTGAACCTATATCAATATTCCAGGTTCATGTTAAAGATTGGTAGTTGTTCTCCACATATCTTGTTTTGCTCAACTCAGTGTAAGTAGATTCGGCGTCATTTACAGCCTCGTCATTTGCGGCATTCACTCTCAACGATTTCGGATCAATTATCTTGCGTGTTCATTTTTGAAAGATCAGGCTCCTGATAAGTTGTGTCAACTTCAGATGTTTTTGGTTCAGGTGTTCCGTTTCTGAACCAACGACAAGAACACGAGACAGTGTAGGAAAAGAGAATTCCAAGAATAAACCCAGACACCAAAGACACAAAATATGCCATACTACAACAGTTGTCCCATCATCCTCTTTGTTGGCAGCTGTATTGACTGAACAGAAATATTTAAAACTGATATAATGCCATGGAAACTTTTAAATAGAAAGAATGCAGACGCAATCCGCGCTACAATTTTCAAGTTGTTTATTATGATGGTCTCCGATCACACAACATTTCGTTCATGTCTGTCCCATGCAGCCTTAGTAAACAAGTTTTAAATATACTCCCCGGCAAAAATGGCATCAACCAGTAGTAACTAAAATTTCTATGATTTATTAAATTTACGATGGATGCTGTAGTGGTAACACAACGATAAAGCCCCCCCCCCCCCGAGAATATTTGTACCCTGCTTGATTATAGTTACACTAGCTTTGCTTAGATCAAGGGGGATTGTTATAGAAAGATAGTTGGCACCATGCAATACGTACTTTAAAATACTGCTCATCCAACCTGCTTTCATTGACAAAGAGTATACTAAATTTTGAACAAATATACTGTACCTGGTCCAGAAATCTTGGTAGTCATGAAATTTTGATGTGTTCTACCAATTGTTGGAATTATTGGTTGATCTAAACGAAATAAAATTACGTTTATGTTTCATCAGAGTAGAAATTTTGAAGGCACCGGAGATAATGTATGATATATAATAGACGTATATGGTGTATAAAACGCAAGATAAAATATTGTAAAAACAGTTTTTGTATGCGAAGTATTGTACATCACCTATAATAGATAAATTACAGTATATCATTGACCAAATTCCAAGTTTATTCTCTGCAATACATTTATAAAATCCAGCATGACTATACTGTACGACATCTATGGTATACGTCTTGTCAATACTGACGACCTTACTGCCATTGTGGACAATGGTACGTATAACTTGGTCAGGGACGACCATTAGATTCACACGATACTCACGATATGGTAAAAGTTTTACCCACAACTGCTTCTTCGTTGAAGTATATAGCCCTTCCGGTGGATCTGTAAGAGTCAAAATTCATAAAAACTAATTTCTTAAAAACAATCAACTCTAAAAACAGCATAAAACAATTATACGTAAGTAGTAAAGCCCCCCCCCCCCCCCCCCC